GGTTGCCTGTGGGGCTTGCAGCCACGTCCTGGGGAGGGCGGCACCATGGAGATCATTCCTGCGCTGATGCTGTTCTGCAGGCCGGCGGGTGCTCTGCAGGGAAATACAACAAGGAGTTGGCCACAGCTTCTGCACCGTCGTAATTCTTCGCAGGAAGAATCTGTCTTTCACACAGGCATTGCAAGAGTCATTTAGTAATTAAACTGGGGTTTTTGTCTTCCCTTTGACCTTAGAAAATAAGACATCTGTGATTAAAAGAGAGAGTGTGAGAAAGAAACTATCCATAACTGATGCAGGGAGAAATAGAGCTTTCTATTGAAAGTCGCCCAGATGGCCTGGCCAGCATGGCTCTGTGGTTGAGCATTGACCTATGAACCAGGAGGTCAGGGTTCGATTCTTGATTAAGAGCACATGCCTAGTTTCAGGCTCCGTACCCAATAGGGGGCGTGCAGGAGGCAGTCCATCAGTGATTCTCTCTCACCATTAATGTTTCTGTCTCTCCCTCTTCCTTCCCTTCTAAAGTCAATAAAAACATATTTTTTTAAAAAAGATTTAACCAAGGAGAAGGTCCATGAAAATGGCCAATTGGGTGGGAGGAAGAGCAGGAGAAAGGTGTCATGAGAGCGGGGGCGGGGGGGGGGAGTGATGTTCATGAGAAAGGCCGCTGGGCGGTGTCCATGAGCTCGGAGAAGCCCCCACTCAGCTGGCTCCCATGTGGGCCTCCCCATCGGGATAGAGATCACGGCCTCTGGGGTACAAGGGTCAGGTGATGACTTCCTGTTTAGTTATTGCTAGAAGCAAGTCATGCTGAGCGTTTGTCCTTAACATGAAAGTCTCTCGGATGCGAGAAGGATTTCCAGGGACTCCTGCATCACGCCCCGCGCCAGCCCAGCCTGATTTCCCAGGAGCCCCATCCTGCCCGCCTCCTCTCCACGCCCACAGCTCTCGCTGCTGGGATGCCAGAGGCCCAGAGGCTGACACTTTTTTAAATGCTGCTCGTCCTTGCCCTCTTCCGCGATGGTCAGATCTCTCACCATGAGATGGACAAACGCTCAGCATGAGTTGCTTATAGCAATAACTAAACAAGAATTCATCGCCTGTCCCTTGTACCCAGAGGCCGTGCCACCTCCAGCTCCTTCTGCTTCAGTAACTGCATCCAGGTGAGGACGGCGGTGTGAAGGGCTACTATCCTCACCCTCCTGGTGCTGGTGACTTTTCAAAATGACTATGGACAGGAAGAACCGAACGCCGAACAAAATCAAGCCTCCAGATCAAAGTCTTCATTCAGCCACGGGTGCCGCCGCCGCGTGCCAGGCTGCACACACCCGTCAGGCCAGTGGGCAATCTTGGAACAACGGCTCTGTATGAAGACAAATAACAATAATAACAACGGCTGCCGTTCACGGGCCGCTCACTGCACGCCAGGCGGGCAGCCAAGTGCCATTCAGGCCGTGGCTCGTTTGATTCTCCCAAGTGCCAGGAGGTGGGACATAGCATCATCCTCATCTTATGGACGAAGAAAGCAAGTCTTAGAGTTCCCCAAGAGACTGGCCAAGTGATGAGAGGAAGAGCTGGGCTTGGGAGGAAGAGAAGACTGCCATTGTCTGCCATGTGTGTGTGCGAGATGCAGCCTGGGCCGTGGGCTCGGGGCTCAGAGGCAGGAACGGACCGAGGAGGGAGGAAGCATCAGCAGCAGGCACCTCGCAGCTCAGGCTAGAAACCGAGGGCCGTTCTCGGCTCCTTTGCTCACTCTCCCCAAAAACTCTTCTGAGGGTGATGGTGCCGGGTGTGTCTGGATGATGCTCCCGCCCGTTGAACTGCTCAGCAGTATCTGATGATGCTTTGATGGTCCTTCATCACCAAACACTGCCTGTCCCAGGCCCAACATGCGTCTTAAACTTGTCGGCTCGTCTCCACTCTCCCTGCGAGCACCCTGGCCAACGCCGCCAGCATCTCCCGAGCAGCCCCCTTCTGGGCCCTGAGCATGGCCTCCTGCCTCTCACAATCCCCCTTCCTGCTGGAGTCTGGGGTCTCGCCTGCTCAGAGCCTTTTCGTGGCTTCAGGGGTAAATCCTGCTTCCTTTCCATGGTTCCCAAGGCCTTCCCACTGTGGCCTGGCCTTCCTTTCCCTTTCCAACCACCTCTCTCATGAGCTGCTGATGCCCCTCCAAGCAGCACAGGGCCCGGCTCACAGGAAACAGATACTGAAGAAATGAAGGTGAGAATGTGTGGGCTGGTGAATCAAAAAGCTTCCCCCAGGCCAGCCCATGTAGCTCAGTGGTTGAGCATCGACCCATGAACCAGGAAGTCACAGTTCAATTCCCAGTCAGGGCATATGCCCAGGTTGTGGGCTCAAACCCATGTGGGGTGTGCAAGAGGCAGCTGATCGATGATTCTCTCTCATCCTTGATGTTTCTATCTCCCGGTCTCCACCCATTCCTCTCTGACATCAATAAAAATATATTTTTATATAAAAGCTTTCCAGAGGCAGCTTTTATGTTTGAGATGCGCTTTAGAAGGGGGTGAGTTTCTCAGGTGGAAGGGCAGGAGGCATGAGGTGGTAAAACCAGGTGTTTTAAGTACAGGCAGCCCACAGTGAGGACCTGGAGGACTTCCCGGAGCAGCCTGGGAGGGGGCAGGAGCAGGCCTGGAGGCAGGTCGGTGCAAAGCAGTGGTTCTCCGCATCTAGTGCACCTTGTAAGCCCCTCGAAACCTTGTTAAAACATGTCATTGGGCCCCACTTCCAGAGGGCTAGAGTCTGAGACCTTGCATTTCTGACAAGTGTTGAGGTAGTTATGCTGCTGATCCGGAATGACACTTTGAGAACCAGCGGTGGCAGGGCCTGCGGAGGGGCCGGGAAGGCGGCGCCAGGGAGGAGAGCAGTTGGAGCTGACAGAGCCCAGCGGTCAGCCTGCCCTGCCCCTTCCCCGCAACATCCCTCTCAGAACAAACAGGAGCCTGCCATGACCTCTGACCCCCATTCTCCTGGTCCTAACAGTTCTCCTCAGCAGCATTTATGCTTTGAAGGAGTCTCCTGCTTCTCACTCCAGTGAGATTTTGATGACTCTTTAGTAAAATACTGCTGAGGAGCTCAATTGGTTGGAGCATCATCCAGATACACAAAGGCTGCTGGGGGGTCAGGGCACATAGAAAAATCAACTAATGAATGCACGAGTAAATGGAACAATAAATCAATATCTCTCTCTCTCTCTCTCTCTCTCTCTCTCTCTCTTAAATAAATAAATAAATAAATAAATAAATAAATAAATAAATAAATAAATAAAAAATGCTGCTGGGGAGATAGGCAGATCACCTAATCTCACACTGCAATCCACACTATTGCTGCCATGGCAAAGTGTCTGGTTCTAACAGGAGACCTGGCATCATGTCATGTTGCCTTGCGGGTAGGATTTCTGGCTCTATATTGGGCAGAAGGAGAGGGAGGAGGTGAAGAGGGCCTCCTCTCCCAGCCTTCCCAGACCCCATGTGCCGGCTGCCAGCCTGGCCCTGTGCTGTGGTTTGGTTTGGTTTGGTTTGGTTTGGTTTGGTTTGGTTTGATTTAGTCAGCATTTTCATATCCATCAGGGGAGATGGGTCTTTATCTTCATGATGTAGCCCAGATAGGAACCTGTAGTCCTGGCTGCTCTGTGTCACGGGAGGAAGACAGAAAATGATCCTCTACAGCAGTCTCTCTTGATTCTGATGTGCCTTTCCGTTTCCAAAGCTGACGACAAAAGATGCACACTGTCAAGTCACATTGGTCCGGCTCAGCATTCTGCCCCTGCCAGGCTCCAGCCACATGATTTGGGGCCACTTACCTAAGCCCTCTGAGCCTCAGCATCCTTATCTGGAAGATGGGTGTGTTGAAAATCCATCTCAGAGGGGTGCCGGGGCGTTTAGCAAAGTCATGAGTGTTAAATATCTAATAGAATGTGGGGCTCGGTCTGTGAGTGTTTAACAATCAGCAATCCAGGCATAGAACAGTTTGCCAATTGCCCTGGTGTAAACATCCCCACCACGGCTGATATCAAGCTAGCAACATGCTGTCACTGAATGAAGGGCTGAGCACGCCCTGATATATGCAGAGATGACAGTAACACATAGTAAAACAATTAGGAAGCGGTGAGTTTTCATGACCATTGCATTTTGAGTACTTACCACCTGTGTTTTTGAAATAATGTGTTTAGTTGTAAGTTCACATAATTAAAACTTTCATGACGGCTGTGTTTAACAACCAGCTCACAAAACCCCTGGGATATTTACTATCTGCCCCCAGCACCAGCCAGTTCCACCAGGCCACTGGCCAGGCACTTCCCTTTCCCCTTCCTTTCCTATCCTCAGCCCCAGCGAGGGTTTCATAAAGCTTTCCCAGGTAGAAACAAAGACGTTCCCTGTTCCACTGCAGGCGCCAAGCTTTGCTCTTAGCCTTGGCCCCATCCCAGTCCTCAGCCCATGCTCAGCCTCAGCCAAGGCCCAGCCTCACCACGCTGCCTGCCTGGCCCTTCCTATCTCTGGGATGGCCCAGCCACTGCCAACCCCTGCAGGGCGCCTGCAGGGGAGCCATGAAGGGCCCTCTGTGGCCGCATGGTGGACTGCAGGTCATTTCAAAATGCCGTCCGCCAAGGAGATGGAGAAGCCCAGCCAGCCAGCTGCACTTGGGCAGGCAAGAGCCTATAATTAGCCTCCACTTGGGGCCTGAATAAGCCCCTGGTTGGTACTCATCAACAGTAACGCAGGAAGGCTGTGAACAAGCCGGCTGTGGAGTGATCTTTTTGCTCCAAAAATCCAACTCTAATGCTCTTTTAAAACGTCCAGATCCTGCCCTGACCATGTGGCTCGGTTGGTTGGAGTGCTGTCCTGAACACCAACTGGTTGAGGGTTTGATTCCGATTGGGGCACATGCAGGAGGCAACCCATTGATGATTCTCCACCACATCGATAGTTCTCTCTCTCTCTCTCCCTTCCTATTTCTCTAACATTGCCGTGACTTTGCTGTTCCAGGTGGGTGAGGCTGTTTTGGAAAACGCCCGGCTCATGCTGCAGACAGAGAACATCCAGGCGGGTGCAGATGCCTTCAAAGACAGGTAATGTTTTGCCACAGAGGCAGTTCTGCCCGCCACGCCTCTCCCCCGCAACACCTCCTCCCCCCCATGCCTCCAGACTCTTGGGGACTCAGGTAATGTTATCTGGAGTCTGCAGCATTCTCCTCCAGCCTCATGGAAGGATGGGGTGGGGAAACAGTCCCGGGGAGAATCCAGAGCCAAGATGGTCAGGCCCAAAGCCTCCTTATAGACACAAAAGTGGCCCTAAGGGCTCAGAGAGTTTGCTGAGGGGACCATATCCTGGAAGGACCAGGCTCCTGGAGAGGTGAGCAAAGCAGGACTCCGGAGGCCCAAGGGGGACTTGTCCAACTTGGACCAACAGGGACCAAGCCCGGTCATATGGGTGGGTTTTCATTTCACTGGAAGGACAGGGCTTGCTCCCAGAAGGAGGAAATGTTGACAGGAACACAATCCTTCACCCTGGCTGGTTTGGCTCAATGAATAGAGCATCAGCCTGTGGATTGAAGGGTCCCAGGTTCGATTCTGGCCAAGGGCATGTACCTTGGTTTGGGGCACATCCCCAGTAGAAGGTGTGCAGGAGGCAGCTGATCAGTGTTCCTCTCTCATCAATGATTCTCTCTATTCATCTCCATTCCCCTCTGTAAAAAATCAATAAAACATTTTTTTTTTAAGAATGGAGGAAGGAACTGGGAAGGTATAATCTGAAGAACAAAAGGCTTGGAGAGGTTGGCAGTGGGGAGGGGAAATGAGAGAGTAACATAAGAGACAGCCTCTAAATATTTATGGACTACCAGAAGGAAGGATTAGACTGATTTTGGGTGTTCCAAAGGGTGAAACCCGGTACTTTGTAGATTCATATAAGAATGGAGATTTAAGCTCTTGGGGGGAGGGGGTGATTTACAATGAGTAGAGCTGTCCAAAAACCGAACGGCGGCCTTGAGTGAGGATGAGTTGTCTGTCCCTGGAAGTATTCAAGCAGAGGCTACGTGATCACTTACCAAGAATGCTACCAAGGGACTGTTGCTGGGTAGGAGTTTGAATAGTTGAATGCTAAAGTCCCTTTAAAATTCTAAGAGAGTAAGACACTTTCTGGAATGAGGAGTGTGAGATTTCTCCTTTCTGTGAGTGGGTTAAGGTAAACTGTGACTGAGGGCACAGCTGGGAACAGGGCCGGGAAGAGAAGGAGTGGCATGGGAAGACATTGGCAAAGATGCTGGGTAGCTTTTAGAAAGAAGGCCCCGTGTGAGCCAGAGATGGAAAGAGCTCAGAGCGGGCAGTTTCAGACTCATGAGATTGTGTGCGTGCACGTGTGTGAGCATGTGTGTTATTGAGTAAGTTGTGAGTTTGCCAACTCTGGATATTTCACGTCTAAATCCAGCTTTCCCATTTCCTACCTTTCCCACTCGCAGTATCGGAAGGAGCTGAGCAGCAGTGCCCCTTTAGGTGAAATACAAACCATCGCCTCTGCCATATATATATATATATATATATATATATATATATATATATATAATTTTAATATATATAATTTATATTAATAATATATATAATGTAATATATATAATAAAATATATATAACTTTCTCCTTTCGGTCACCTAGCTATGCTGATTAAGTTCCTTTGTCTGCAGATATGGAAATGAGCAGTCATTTCGAAAGGCAGTGGAAGAGGAAATTAACTCTCTCTATAAAGTCATCGACGAAGCTAATTTGACAACAATGGACCTGGAAAGTCAAATAGAAAGCCTGAAAGAAGAGCGTGGCTTTCTGTCAAGGAGCTATGAAGAGGTAGGTGGGGCTGGGCTGATGCTGGGTTGGCTATATTCGCCTGTCTGGCCGAGCTTCAAAGCACAGGTGATGGGCCCTGGCTGGTGTGCTCAGTGGGTTGGGCACTGTCCCATGCACCAAAAGGTTGCTGGTTCACTTCCGGTCAGGACACATGTAGGGGTTGTGGTCTCAAGTCCCACCGAGGGGAGAGGGGGAGTGACCAAGGAGAGGGGGTACAGGATGCAGCTAATCAATGTTCTGCTCTCACATCATTGTTTCTCTCTTTTTCTCCCTTCCTCTCCCTTCCTCTCTCTCTCTAAAAATCAATAAAAAAATATTAATGATAATTTTTAAAATACATAGATGATGCTAGCTCACCTGGGCCTCTCCATGTCTCTTGCCCAAGGCTGGTAAATGCTTACAGTCCCAACATAGGGGTCAGGCTAGCAAGATGTCTCACACTCAAAGCTTCAGGACCAGGTTGCTCTGAGAACTGGAGGAGGCAGGAGGTCCAAGGAATTGAATTGAGGGCGTATCCCATGCGTCAAGGTGTTCAACTTCAGAACTTTGTCTTCACTGTACAGGACAAACAGAATAACTCTGAGCCAGGCTGTGGTTTGCACACACTCACTGGTTTGGAATTAAGTCAGATCCCTGAGTGACAGGACGGAGGGGCTCCAGCCCCACACTGATTCTAGACCCCTTGCCTCGTGCCACTGCCTGATCCGAGGCCTACAGTGCTTGCAGCTGAAAATGTCAAAACCCACTCAACAGTCTCATGTCAGGAAGCTCCCTCTTTTGTCTGACCTTATGCAAACCAGGAACCAGGCCCACTTCCTCCTGCTCTTAGCGCTGGAGTTTTCCACACTCCCTGATAGTAAGAGACTCCACAGTTATCCTCAGAGCTCTTTCAGCCTGACTTAATCTGACTTTATGAAATGCCTAAGTTTCATCTTGCTGTTGCTGCCTACTCTGTTCTTTGATGTATTGCTTGGGCCCGGGCTTGTGAAACCAGCTGATAAATGCATCCTGGGGAAAGAGCATACAGCCCCTGTGCTGGGAAAAGGGTCAGGAAGCCCCCCATTTGGCTTTAGCAGAAGGAGAAGCAAAGTGTTGCCCACAGCCTGGCCAGTGTGGCTCAGTTGGTTGAGCATCACCCTGTGCACGGAAAGGTCGCTGGTTCAATTCCCAGTCAGGGCACCTGCCCAAGTTGCAGGTTTGATTCCTGGTCAGGATGCATCTGGAGGCAGCAAATCAATGATTCTCTCTCACATTAATGTTTCTCTCTCTCCCTCTCCCTTCCTCCTCTAAATTCAATTTAAAAATATATTAAAAAGAAGAAAAAAAAAGTGTTGCCCACAGAACGGGGCTTCTGCTGACGACAATGCCGTGTCTTCTTTCCCCCGTGGGACTCACCTGTGCGCGCTGTCATTTGCAGGATGTGAAAGCGCTGTGTCAGCAGCTGGCAGTGTCTGAGCTGGAACAGGTGGACGTGCCCCAGGGCACTGGTCTGGACGCCATCCTGGAGACAATCAGAATTCACTGGGAGAGAGATGTCGAGAAGAGCTGGATGGAAGCAGGAGCCTTGCTCCAAGCCAAGGTGAGAGGTAGCGCCCGCACCTTCCACTCTGCCCTGTGCAGAAGGAGGCCAAGCAAAGAGGAAAGGCAGTCAACGTGCGAAGGAAAAAGTGCAGCTGTCTCTGTCCCAGCAGGCATACATGAAATGTGTATTGAGATAACAGTTTTTTGTTTGCCTGTCTAAAAACAGAAAATGTTTAAAATAGTAATAATCATATATTATAAAAGGCTAATATGCAAATTTTCCCCTCAACCAGGAGTTCCACTGGGAGTTTGACCAGAGGGTGGGGCCATTGTCCCTCCCTCCAGCCAGCCCAGCCCCCAATTGAGATGATCGGGGCTGGGCCAGCTAGACCCCACCTGTGCACAAATTCATGCACCAGGTCTCTAATAATTAATAATAATAATAATAATAATAATAATAAAAATAAAAATAATAATGCTGGCAAGTTTGTAGAGAAGGTTTTCACCTATATTTCAGGAAGCACGTCTATGACCCGTTTGCATAAGGAATTTGGTGATATGTATTAAGGGTCTTATAATGCCCCTCCCTACCAGTTGAATAATCAGGACACTACCCTAAAGATATCATTGAAAATACAAGTAAAGTGTACATCCAAGTATACTCACTGATGCATTCATTACAAGAGCGAAAACATTTGGGGAAATAACACATAAATGTTTAATAACAGGATAAAGGCCAACCGTGCAATGACATATCAGACAGTTATGGGAAATGATATTCGTGAAGCATTTATATAACAGCCTGGGAAGTGCGCATGCAGAGTGTTGCATACCAGGGCCAAAAACATTTTCTGCAAAGAACAAGATAGTAAGTAATTAGGTGTCTGGGCCAAATGGTCTCTGTCGCAATATTCAGCTCTGCTGCTGTGATGTGGAAGCTGCTGGAGACAATAAGTAACAAGTGAGTGTGGCTGTGTGCCAATAAAACTTTATTTTCAGAAACAGGATATGGGCTGGATTTGGCCTGCAGGCTACAGTGTGCCAACCCTGATGTATACAGTAGGGTAAAGCATTAAACAAAGAAATCAGGCATCACGGAATGATGAGAAGGAAAACACTACAATATTCATGGTGCTAGTGGTGGTTGTCTTTGAAATGGACCTGTTGAGCACTTTGAAACCTTTTTCTTGCTTTTGAATATTTCTTGAGTTTTTCTTAAGTAGTATGAATTCTTTCTATTCATAGAAGAAAATGTTTTTTTATTAAACTTCATAAGTGATAAAGGAATTAACCAGAAATAGAATGCACAGGGTTTCTTCCTTCTCCATCCCCTCCCAGTGTATGACTGGGATTTTGAGGCAGAGGATAGAAAGGGCAAAAGAGGGAGGACAGCGTGAAGGAAGTGTGAAAACTAAGGCAGCTGTGTGAGACAAGGCGAGAGGGCTGCTCCTGCATCCTTGGTTGCCATGGACCCTTCTCCACCCTGGCTGCACAGACTGTGTCAGAGCATTTTCAGAAGGACCCATGCCCAGGTCCCATCCGGGACCAAGTAAATCAGAAGGAGGAGAGGGACTTTGTGGTTCTCTCTCTCTCTTTTTATCCTTTTTTCTTTCTTTCTTTCTTTTTTTTTTTTTTAAGGAAAAAGCCCCATCTAGGCCCCATCCAGGACCAAGTAAGTTAGAAGAAGGGGAGGGACTTTGTGGTTCTCTCTCTCTCTCTCTCTCTCTCTCTCTCTCTCGCTCTCTCTCTCTCTTTCCCTTTTGTTACTGATGTCAGAAAGAGAAAGGGAGAGGGATAGAGAGAGAAACATTAATGATGGGAGAGAATTACTGATTGCCTGCCTCCTGCCCGCCCCTACTAGGGATTGAGCCAGAAACCTATGCATGTGTCCTGACCTGGAATAGAACCGTGACCTCCTAGTTCTTGGGTCAACAAACAACCACTGGGCCATACACACCAGCCAGGTTCATTCTCTCTCTCTCTCTCTCTCTCTCTCTCTCTCTCTCTCTCTCTCTCTCTCTCTCTCGGAAAAGAGAGAAAGCAATTTGTTGTTCCACCCCAGGCAGCACTCACTAGTTGACTCCTGTGTGTACCTAACCAGAGATTGAACCCGCAACGTTGGTGCACTGGGACGATGCTCCAACCCAAATGAGCTACCCAGCCAGGGCTTTGCAGTTCTGTAAGCTGGGCAATCTAATGCACAGCCAGGGTTGAGAACCATGAGGTATAAAAACCCACCGAAAGAAAGCCAGGAGGACCTTTTATTTCCTGTCTTCTGCCCCCTTCACTCCCCCGCCCCCCAATAAGAACAATAGGACCAATAGGAACATTCCCAGCAGGGTCTTCACCAATTCTGGAGCCTTCAATGTTCTCCAGCCCAGAAAACACCTCCCATCTCCCCGCTCCCCCCACCCCATCCCCCTTTCACCAGCTTCTCTTCTTGCTAACCTTTAGTTCCTTGACTAAGTCACAACAAACACTTTGATGGCAAATAGTGCCTGGTAAACCCACAAAAGCAGCCCCACCCCAACCTGGAGAGAGGTGAACAACACAGAGGAGAAGCAAAACCCAACCACAGATTTGATTTGGGTCCATTCCTCCTTCTTTAGGAGAGTCATGAATATCTACAATTAATGACCCTAAAAACCATCCATTTCCACTGCCTCGCTTTAGATTGTGTGGCTTCATTTAATTCTCCCAGCTCTCTGTCCAGGGACCTTTTCTCTGCCTGAGGTTGTTATTTCTCCCTGGCTCTGCCCCCAAAGCTAAATCTCGGTGGCCCAGCCTTGCTCTGTCCCAACACTCCTGGGGTGTACACAGCAGGCACTGTAGGGTTTATTTCTTTGGGAAAGTGGGGAGGGGCACTGAAATGAACAGGAATGTGTCCTGCCTAGTGTGGAAAAGAAAAAGAAAACACTTGGTCATTATTATCCACCCCTCACCCTCTTGAGAATCACCACCAGCCCAACAGTAATTCAGACATTAGTGCTGAACTGACTCATTCGCGTCCTTTCAATGGGGTGATCTGAAAGCCACATCTCAGAGAACACACACCGCGCTTGTGTGCGTTCGGCCGATGCTGCCTGGGCCTCTTGCAGAGAGGCTGAGCTCTGAAAATATTTGCAGAAGGAGTGCATTCCTCTGCCCGTCAGCAGAGATCGGAACTGACAGCCAGAAGCCCAGCAGTCAATAGTTTTGCCAGCTGCAGCCAGGCCCCGGGGGCTGAATCAGCCCATCCTGCCGCCTCTGGTCCGCGTCTTGACCACAAAGCGTAAACGTGGAATGGCTGAGCGCGCACGGCTTTTGAAACCTTTTGCAGAGAGAAGACAAACGTGTGTTTAATTCCCTTGCAGCCGGGGAGGCTGAAAATTCATGGACAGGCTGAATGTATGTCTCTGTCTAGGTCCCTTCAGAAACGGATCCTGAGACAAATACTGAGGTGGAGAAGTGGAGGTAGTTTACTTAGACATTGGAGCAGGGAGGCGTGGGGGCGGGGGGGGGGGGGGGGAGGGGGGTACCAAAATACCAGGAGAAGGAGAAGGAGAAGCAGGGAAGAGACTCAACAGAGTATGTTATCCAACCAGCTACCACTATGGGAGCCTGGAACACACCCCACGGGGGCTCTGGGGAGCAGAACAGAACACAGGAGCGGGGAAGGCGAGGAAGTGGGGTACTAGCACCAGCCCCATCAGGCCTCTGCCGTGTGCTAGCAGAGGGACCCTTCCATCTTTGGAGAAAGCTCTCAGGCAGAGGTGCAGAGCCCGCAGCAAAAGGAAGCTGGGAGAGCTAGCACAGTAAGGCCGGAGGGATAAAGGTGGATGCCATCGGCACTTCCTACCACTGACCTGCCAACTCCTTTTATTTTTTTTTAATTGAGATAAAATTGGTATATAGCATTACATAAGTTTCAGATGTATAATCAATATTGAAAGATGAGACAGAGGGCCGGAGAACCAGGACACAGGCTTTTTTGGAGGAGAAGACCCCAGGAGGGCTGCCTTCCAAAGGAGAAAGAGCACATGTGCCGGGGTGAAACGCCTTTTGAGGGGAGAAAGGGAAGGGACGGGGCTTAGGTACTCGGCACATGCTGATTAGGGACTTAGGAACCGGGGGCTTAGGGTACTTGGCAGGTGCTGATTGGTGGTTTCATATAAAGCACATGATTAGGCACTTAGGGACTTAGGAATGGGGAGGTGGGGAGGGGGCCTTAGGGTACTTGGCAGGTGCTGATTGGAGGTTCAATGTACAGTCCATATAAGGTGCCTGGTTAGGTGTTCAGGAATGTTCAGGCTGCAGGTGGAGTTTACATCATTCTCCGTCCATCAGTTGGGGGAAGGGAGGATCTATCAAATATTATAATTCAGCATCTGTACACCATGATCACCACCAAAAGTCCAGTTACTATCCATCACCACACAGTTGACCCTTTCACTCATATCGCCAACCCCTCAAACCCTCTCCCCTTCTGATAACCAATCTGTTTTCTGTTTCTATGGGATTAATTTTATTGGTTTGTTTTTGGGGTTTTTGTTTTGGGGGTTTTTTTTTTTAGATTTTTACATATAAGTGAAATCATCTGGTATTTGTCTTTCTCCATCTGGCTTATTTCACTTAGCATCATGCCCTCAAGGTCTATCCATGTTGTTGCAAATGGCAAGAATTCGTTCTCTCCTGTGGCTGGTTCATATTCCATTCTACATCGATTCACCCGTAGATAGACACTTAGGCTGCTTCCTCCTCTTGGCTATTGTAAATAATGCTGCAGTAAATGTGAGGGTGCACATATCTTTTCGAATTAGTGTTTTCATTTTCTTTAGATAAATACCTGAAATAAAATAGCTAGAAGATATGATAGTTCTACTCTTTTTTTAAAATATATATTTTTATTGATTTCAGAGAGGAAGCAAGCAGGAGAGAGAGATAGAGAATCATCGATCGGCTGCCTCCTACAGGACCTACACTGGGGATGGAGCCCGCAACCCGGGCATGTATCCTGACCAGTAATCAAACCGTGACCTCCTGGTTCCTAGGTCAATGCTCAACCACTGAGCCACACCA